CGAATAAAATAAGATGTAAAAGTAAACAAAACAGAAGGGTTTGCAATCTTATAATATTTAAGGAATGTCCTGTTTTAATTCATGATGCAATAACTGAGGCAACTATTGTGGTGAATGTTTGTATGGTTATATCGGCTTATCTAACGCGAACAACTGGCCAGATTCAGAGCAGGGACTGTATGTTAATGTAAGTTACGCCCATGCAAAGTCACAAACGAGCATGTGTCTGAAGAGCAGTGAAAAGAGGGGTAGCATCACTGTTCAGTATGAGAGGTTAGTATGAAGCCTTCTGGAGAGCTGTGCCTGCCGCTCTGAAGCCTCGAGGAACAGAAGCCCCGGCCAGAGTAACTCCACTAGCAAGTCGACTTTGGCGGCAAAAAAGATAATTTGTAGCATTCGTCTTTTGTTTGAACGCGACACAGAGGAAACCAGGAAATAACGCGCGGCTGGCATTTGGAAATTGTACCAAAAAAATGAAGTAAGTTTTTTTAAATGGAGTTAAATTCTCGCTACATGTAGTTTTACAGACATGTAATAGATTTGAGGACACACGGTGGTTTTGGGTTGATGGGGTCAGTGTAAATAGAGACTTTGGTAAGTGAGACACGTGGCGATGTTCTGACTCTAGAGGTGGATGCTTTCTTTGTTTTCGCGCGTTTCTCTTAATTCTCAAATATGTTTTATCATAAACTGGAAATGCCCGATGTGCAGTGTTTTAAATGAGCTCAAATGTCTTTTGCATGAGCTGTTAACGTTTTATTTTAGGCTGGGTGTATATTGTGGAAGGCGTGTTATATAGTAGCGTATGGCGCGATCTGGAGAAACTTTGTGTTTGTGTAATCCCGGAGAGAGAGTTGGTTCTCAATGGGCCACGCTGGGAAAGCCAAGCCTTTTGTCCTCAGGGGAAACAGAGAGGGCAGAACTCAGCGTTTCGGGTTCCGGATGGGGCCACATGGACCAGAAAAGCATTCTAGAGGTGAAACGATATGAGCGTTTCTGATCGCGGTTATCGGTATTATCACGGTATTGTTCAAATGCGTTGGAAGTGCTGATACCTAAATCGTTTTATATTTAAGTATTTTTTAAATATATTTTTTATATTTAAAATCAATAAAGTTACTTTTTGTTTGCATACACACTAAAACAATAACGTCTGGGTTTTAAACGGCAGCATGACTGACAAGAATAAATAAAATGGTAAACCTCGCGTTTCAGCCTTTAAATAAAGAAAAGAGTTAAGTCAATGATTATATATTTTATCTGCTCCATAAATAATCTGAATTGTTTAAATGTGTAGAATCAGCTGGTCGCCAGACAAAAACTGCACACACACACAGGCTGAATGTAAATCTGTGAATCCACTCTCTGACAGCAGGTGGCGCTGATGGAACGGCAGAATTAGAGCCTGATAGCACACGTACATCACGGAGACGTCTATTTGACGTCTGCAAGACGTATTTTTTAGAGTGTTTGCTCATCTGCAATACGCCTATAGGACGTTTCCTATGAGATGTCAAATAGACGTTTAGAAGATGTCTTTAAGACCACTTATACCAGAGAGCACATGGGCTCCAAATGATATGATTCCATTGTTTCTGGTAAAAATGGAATTCTATGGAAGCTTGTTTCCATCACGGAATAAAACAAATACATAAATAAAGAAGATAGGTGTGACTTCTCACAATTCTGAATTTTCTTTCGCAATTCCAACTTTGCATCTCACAATTCAGCATTTGTTTTTCCAAATTTCACTTTTGGGAAATAAAAGTAATTACGACTTTTATTATTATTTTTTTTTCCAATTCTGACTTTTCTTCTCAGAAATGCACGCGTTAACATCTCTCTATTCTGAGTTTATATCTCACAATTCTGCTTTTTTTCTTCTTTTCTGATTTAAGGTCTGTTCAGATTTTAAAAGTCATGTCATGTATTCCAGCCGTTAAGAAAGATTCGAAAAGACTGAACATGGAAGATTTGGCCATTTAAAAGATTCGATTCTTCGCCAGAGGAGCGTAAAGGACTCGATACTTTTCACTTCGTTCTTCACCAGAGCATGGTCACTGCATTGGCGGTGGGGAAGACATCGTGTTGCTTTTGGCGAGGCTCACTCGATGGAGAGAGGACACACGTTTAAACTTAAGCGCGCACTTAATATTTCAATCTTGAAATGCTCTCAAGACTTTAAAACCTGGACTTTATTATAAAACATTTTCTGCTTAAACATTTAGAGAAAGGTGCATCTGCTCTTTCATATGTACACACAGGGTCAACGGTAAAAATTCACTGTGCCAGAACAAGCACTTCATAGGGGCCTTCCTCCATCTCTCTGCTCATAGGGACGGATAAACAGACGTACTTTAGAGGACATCCCCTTTAAACAAACACTGAACGTCAGTCGTTCCAGTCGAGTGACGCTCAACTCGGTGGACAGAGCTGTTAATAGTTACTTTTTAACTGTGCAGTGTGTGAAATGTAGCTCGCACACCTGTATGCCAAGAGGTTTACAGTAGATGCCTAATGTTTTTACTAAACACAGCAAGACTCCCGAAACCGTCTTCATGCGTACTGTAAACAATCACACACGTGCAACTGACCACGACTCGATCCTCTTGATAACTGAAAAAGTGTAATCTGTCCAAATGCCTGGTGGATTTCTACCACCGTCAAACCTGCTTTTCTTCATTCAGGAGGATGTGAGTGGAGCTCATTTTAATAGGGAGTGTGAGTTACATAAAAAATCCTCCCATAAGCCTGGCAGTTGAGGGGAGAGAAGTCTGGTGGACTGTGTCTAATCGTGTTAAACACAACAGGCTGAATCAGTGTCCCGCGGAGATCCCTGCCGTTTCTGCTCTCTTTCTTTGTATTGCCTGTATTCTCCCGTCACCACTCTGATCTCTTGTTGTCTGTGTTTGAGTGTGTGCGTGTGTGTTAGTGGGTGTTTTGGTTATCCGAGTTATAATGACCGATCATGACCGAGTTATAATGACCGATCATGACCGAGTTATAAAGACCGACCCCATTTACAAACAAAAACTTTGACGCACTCGGAGCAAAGTCAATATTAGGCTATCTCTAGAATCAGAAGATGCTCATTTGTTGTGGCTTTCAGACGCAGGCCTTGGTTTAATAACTAAATTAAGCGTTCTAATTTGTGTTCAATCAAAGCACGTGTAATTTGTATTGCTTGTGGGGTTTATTGCAAGTGGTTTCGCAAACAGCAGCGCATGCAATTCGGTTGGGTACACCCCGTATTTAGAGAAAGCTTTTGTGTGTTTAGTTGTAGCGAATGCTAGGGAGTGTCTCTGTCTTACATCTCACACTAAATCCCAGAGATTTCAAGAATGAAGATTTATGGGTGTCGGTTTTAAAGGCATGATGCTACAAAAGATTCCTTTTTCGAGTAAATGCTGCTTATAAAACCTTTCTATTCATCAGTTTTTCCTAAAAAATGCATCCTGGTTTTCACTAAAATATTGAGCTGATTGTTTTGATAATAATCAGAAATGTTTCTTAAGCGGGATGCTAGGGAGTGTCTCTGTCTTACATCTCACACTAAATCCCAGAGATTTCAAGAATGAAGATTTATGGGTGTCGGTTTTAAAGGCATGATGCTACAAAAGATTCCTTTTTCGAGTAAATGCTGCTTATAAAACCTTTCTATTCATCAGTTTTTCCTAAAAAAATGCATCCTGGTTTTCACTAAAATATTGAGCTGATTGTTTTGATAATAATCAGAAATGTTTCTTAAGCGGGAAATCAGCATATTAGAATGATTTCTGAAGATCATGCGACACTGAAGACTGGAGGAATGATGCTGAAAATACAGCTGCGCATCACACAGATTATTTTACTAGCCTATATATTCACATAGAAAACAGTTGTTTTTAATTGTAATAATATTTCAAATTTTTACTGTATTTTTAATCAAATAAATGCAGCCTTGGTGAGCAGAAAAGACTTCTGAAGACTGGAGTAATGATGCTGGAAATTCAGCTTTGCGTCACAGCAATAAATTGCATTTGACTATATATTCACATAGAAAACTGTTTACATTTTACATTTAGTAAATGACTAAATGTAAATGTAGAAAACAGTTGTTTTAAATAGTGATAATATTTCACATTTTTACTGTATTTCTGATCAAATAAATGCAGCCTTGGTGAGCTTACAGCATCTTTTAGAAAAACATTTTAAAAATCTTACCGACCCCAACATTTTGAACGGTATTGTATAAAAAATATGAGTGTATTGTATATATTCATGTATAAATGTAATTTCTAATGCAGCCTATGTATTTATACAAGTATAATAAATTATATTATACCAGAGTGATTGTGGAGTGGAATTCATAAATCACAAAGAAGAAATTACAGCATTATTTACACCATCACATTATTGATTATTTTTCTTGTTTAAAAGATTTGGTTAAAAGATTTGTGTATGGACATGACGCAAACCCACAAAAGCTGACAAGATATGCTATTTTGCACATCTTTAAAATGCAGTCCTCAAAAGATTACACTAGTAAATCTGCTAAAGTAGTTAAATTGGGTTCAAAAAGGCAGAATATTGTTTTCAGAAACGTATATATTTTTTCATATGCCGCTGTGTGTTTACTGACTGAGCCCTGACCCTGTTTTTCTCTGTCTGATAGGATGATGGCTCCGTCTCTGTCGCAGGCGTACAGGAGGCGCTGGTGGATGGCCGTCACAGCCGTGTTGGAGAATCTGTCGTGTTCGGCCGTGCTCTTGGGCTGGGGCTCTCTGCTCATTATGCTCAAAGGACAGGGCTTTTACTCCCACCTGTGCACGGGTAATCAGTCATAGAAGTGACATCTTTAAAATGCAGTCCTCAAAAGATTACACTAGTAAATCTGCTAAAGTAGTTAAATTGGGTTCAAAAAGGCAGAATATTGTTTTCAGAAACGTATATATTTTTTCATATGCCGCTGTGTGTTTACTGACTGAGCCCTGACCCTGTTTTTCTCTGTCTGATAGGATGATGGCTCCGTCTCTGTCGCAGGCGTACAGGAGGCGCTGGTGGATGGCCGTCACAGCCGTGTTGGAGAATCTGTCGTGTTCGGCCGTGCTCTTGGGCTGGGGCTCTCTGCTCATCATGCTCAAAGGACAGGGCTTTTACTCCCACCTGTGCACGGGTAATCAGTCATAGAAGTCAAGCAGATCACAATCATCCTAACACCAGTCACTAACTAGCACCAAAAGAAAACCGAGCCAGAGTTCCTGGGAAACTTGAACTGCGTGGAGACTTTAAAACTTAATAAAGTCTCTGTCCCTTGCTTTCGTTGACCTCCTCTCTCTCTCTTTCTGTAGAAAATGAGACTGAGAATGTGACCGCTAGCGCACCAGATGATTGGCCGAGTTGTGTGAATCAGGACGAAATGCTGAACTTGGGCTTCACCATTGGCTCATTTCTGCTCAGTGCTGCCACATTGCCATTGGGTATATTGATGGACCGGTTTGGCCCCAGGCCTCTGCGCCTCGGTGGAAGGTGAAGACACACCTACACACTAATGCTTTGAGTGCTTGTTGTGTTTTATAATGCCAACACTCCATCAGGAAGCACACATGTGTTTTTAAGAAAGCACTTGTGTCATGGAATCTCTGCATGAGTTTGTGCACTGATTAATATATGCATATAAGAGCACTTTCACATTCAAGTATGCATTTATGTAATAATAATTAATGTGTTGTATTTTTTTTTCTTAGTTTGTGTTTTGCGCTCTCTTGTGTGATGATGTCCATATCATCCTATCATCCAGAAGGTGAGCTGCAAACGAAAGAATCTGCATGAGTCTTCAAATTACAGCAATAATCAATCAATCTTTCAATAATTGCTGGAGTTTTTTTTTTTTTACATTTAACATTCAGAACATTGTTTGAAAGTCAGTAGAGGCTATTTTAGTAATCAGTTAATACAATTTCAATTAACTGAATAAAAAAATATATATATTCAGAAATTTCACGTTTAGCTTTTTTTCCCCCTGATTGTTTGTTGCTGCATTTAAATATAGATCAATGTTAAATCAATATACTGGCAGGGACAATTAATTAGACTTTTTAATTTTGTGAATTAACATAAGTGGTCATTCCTCCTTCAATTTTAAAATATACAGGCAGCAGAACATAATGTGCATTTTCTTTTCAAATATTAAAATCTTATTTTTATTTACATTTTGAACTCTTAAGTAAATTGTGTAAACTGTTCATGTTCGTAAACATTCACAGCCATACCCGGATTCTCAAATGTTGCATTTAGTAGCAAATTTAGCATATATATTCTACTGTATACAGAAGACACATAAAATTTGATTTGTCATATGAAAGTCGTTGTCACAGTTTGAGTTGTTCAAGCACACGTTTTGATTGTGTAATGATGGTTTGTGCCTTCTGTTCTAGTCCTCTCTGAACTCATTTTTCTGGCTCTTTCACTCAACGGCTTTGGAGGGATCTGTCTGACCTTCACATCTCTCACGGTAAGAAAAAAGAGAAAATGGTAGAGAAGGGAGCACACGGGGTCTCGCGGACATCTGCGGTGACTTGCGTGTTTTGTTGTGCAGCTGTCACAAAGCTTTTTGAAGTTTATTTTGTCAGGACAGGTGTGTGGGTTTGTGTATTTATGTGTTTGGGACAGTCAGAGGATCGACGCACATAACTGAAGGAGATATTCTGGCTTTTTCAGTGCCCACCAATCAGAAGGCTAAACTGCCCACACGCCTTCTCTTACGCCCTCTCCCTCCCGTCAACCTCTAGATGAAATGGACAAGGGCACAGACGTTGTACCCACATCAACAAATAGATTGTGACTTTCCAATCTGTTTAGTAATATCACCTGGTGTGGGAAAGTATGACTATATATATCAGCTGCCCTCAGATAGCCCACCGCTATCATGCAGATGCCAAAACACACTTATCCTTGTTCATACACATGGCTCATCTAGGGTTGCTCAGGTATGCGTGCACACTGCCCTACATGTGACAACACACACTGCTTAATTTCAGTGTCCTGTTGTACACTTCTGAGAAAAGCACACGCTCTGTGTCTTTAACAGTGAATTACTACCAGCATGGAGACAATAGCAGCTGATATTCTTCTGATCACTTTATTGACCCTTTTCCACATTGTGCGTGATTTGATGTTATCAAACTCAAGTCAATGACCTCCATGACTTTGTGTGCTTTTTTTTCTAGTTCCTTCAAATTAGCAGGGAATCAACCATAAGAAAGACCAATCACAAATAAGATATCCTTAATCCCTTAACTATTTGTTATAGACAAATATTTGTCATGATGATATTAAGGCGAGAGCTAATTTTTGCTTAAGATGTTCCTTCTAATCAAAGGGCCTTACTAACATCACATCCAACAGTCTCACACTGTGCTCAGATTTTCCTAAAAACCAAAGTCTGAAATCAGAATTCATAGAATTTAATATAAACCTTAAAATTTCTTATCAAATTCTTCCAAGATCGAATTACCATTGGTGTACCTCAAGGTTCTGTGTTGGGTCCCTTCATCTTTTCAGTATATATAACGTCGCTGGCATCTATCATCCAGGTACATGAGTTTTTCCATATGAAAGTCGTTGTCACAGTTTGAGTTGTTCAAGCACACGTTTTGATTGTGTAATGATGGTTTGTGCCTTCTGTTCTAGTCCTCTCTGAACTCATTTTTCTGGCTCTTTCACTCAACGGCTTTGGAGGGATCTGTCTGACCTTCACATCTCTCACGGTAAGAAAAAAGAGAAAATGGTAGAGAAGGGAGCACACGGGGTCTCGCGGACATCTGCGGTGACTTGCGTGTTTTGTTGTGCAGCTGTCACAAAGCTTTTTGAAGTTTATTTTGTCAGGACAGGTGTGTGGGTTTGTGTATTTATGTGTTTGGGACAGTCAGAGGATCGACGCACATAACTGAAGGAGATATTCTGGCTTTTTCAGTGCCCACCAATCAGAAGGCTAAACTGCCCACACGCCTTCTCTTACGCCCTCTCCCTCCCGTCAACCTCTAGATGAAATGGACAAGGGCACAGACGTTGTACCCACATCAACAAATAGATTGTGACTTTCCAATCTGTTTAGTAATATCACCTGGTGTGGGAAAGTATGACTATATATATCAGCTGCCCTCAGATAGCCCACCGCTATCATGCAGATGCCAAAACACACTTATCCTTGTTCATACACATGGCTCATCTAGGGTTGCTCAGGTATGCGTGCACACTGCCCTACATGTGACAACACACACTGCTTAATTTCAGTGTCCTGTTGTACACTTCTGAGAAAAGCACACGCTCTGTGTCTTTAACAGTGAATTACTACCAGCATGGAGACAATAGCAGCTGATATTCTTCTGATCACTTTATTGACCCTTTTCCACATTGACTTGCTGAGTTTGATAACATCAAATCACGCACAATGACCTCCATGACTTTGTGTGCTTTTTTTTTCTAGTTCCTTCAAATTAGCAGGGAATCAACCATAAGAAAGACCAATCACAAATAAGATATCCTTAATCCCTTAACTATTTGTTATAGACAAATATTTGTCATGATGATATTAAGGCGAGAGCTAATTTTTGCTTAAGATGTTCCTTCTAATCAAAGGGCCTTACTAACATCACATCCAACAGTCTCACACTGTGCTCAGATTTTCCTAAAAACCAAAGTCTGAAATCAGAATTCATAGAATTTAATATAAACCTTAAAATTTCTTATCAAATTCTTCCAAGATCGAATTACCATTGGTGTACCTCAAGGTTCTGTGTTGGGTCCCTTCATCTTTTCAGTATATATAACGTCGCTGGCATCTATCATCCAGGTACATGAGTTTTTCCAACCACTGTTATGCTGATGGCACACCGCTTTAACTCGGTCTCATTCTGTATGATCTAAGCTGTGCTATCCACAGTTATGTTATAGCTTTTATTGTTATATACTTCTACTTTGTCAAAAATTGTCTTTTTTACGTACCTCTGTAATGTGAAACTTAACATTTCTTATCAAATAACTGTTGGTGTACCTCAAGGTTCTGTGTTGGGGTCCCTTCCTCTTTTTAGAATATAACATTGTTGGTATCTATCATCCACAGTAATGCTATAGCTTTTATTGCTATACACTCCTACTTGGTCAATAATTGTCTTTTTTATGTCTAATTATATTTTTATGAGGAAATTTAAGAGAAACATCAGAGATAACGTTTTTAAAGTGCTTGCAATAAACATTGCTGAGATCTCTCCTGAGCCATGAACATCTGAGGAATAAATAGCATTGCTTTGGATACTGTATTGGTGTTTAAGGCGTGCAGCCTTCTGTTACAAGTTCAGGTTGAGGTTGTTATGCCACTCTGTGTTTGTGTGTGAAAAGCACAAGGAATACAAATGTGCTTTTTCACAGAAGTGTGCGTTTTTAACCTTCTCATTTCACACAGGGGAGTAAAACACACTCACACATCCTTGTAAGAGTCTGGAAAAATGAAGCAATTCTTGGAAAGCGTGGAAAACAAATTTGATGTATCCTGCTTACTGAAGCATATACATTTCTCACACAGCAATGCGTTCATTTTACACTCAATTAGTGAGGTTTAAGTAAGGCATCACTATCGCTCATACTTGTGGTTGGATATGATGTTCACTTGACACTTGATTTGAGCCATTAGGCAGCCTCCCAGATGCCTTAGCATCAAGCTGGCGAGTTTTTCCATAGATAATCACCACTCGCATTGTTTTCAGAAAATATAAAAATCTAGTTTTTCTTCTTTTTGTTCATTGCAAGTGTAGGCTCAGCTGCTTTTGTTGTGATTTTTCCAATACTGATAATGGTTTTCTTTTCCTCTCTTCTTCTGGTAGCTGCCAAACATGTTTGGAAGTCTGAGCTCCACTGTGCTGTCACTAATGATCGGCTCCTACGCTTCATCGGCCGTCACCTTCCCTGGAGTCAAGGTATTTTTTATGTGTGCAAATAGAGGTTAGACCTGTTTGACGTGTACAGTGTGCTCGGAATTAAAGCCTGATGAAATGTTGCATCAGATTGAATGAAACGGAATCGCCTATGCCAAAAGATTAGAACTTATTGCCTTTAACTTCATAATATAAAAGCAGTTAGGCTAAAGTATTAATTCATTTATTCATTTAAGGTTTTGAGCTATGATTGTGTACAATCAAATATAAATTCAATACATTAATACATTGCATTTGATTTAAAACACATCTGCTGTTATAATGTTACTCTGAAGTATAAAAATGGGTGATTTCAAAATCATTTCTTTCATCAAAACTAAGATCATGTAAGTGTTCTATTTTCATAGAAATTAAAATTTTTATTGAATGTATTAATTCTATTAAGTAATTAAATGGCATTGCCATGGCTGCATTTATTTGATCAAATATGCTGTAAAAGCGGTACAATTGTGAAATATTATTACAATTTAAAATAACTGTTTTCTATTACAATATATTTTAAAATGTGATGTGCAGCTGTATTTTCAGCATCATTCCTCCAGTCTTCAGTGTCACATGATCTTCAGAAATCAGTATAATATGCTGATCTGCTGCTCGAGAAACATTTCTGATTATTATCAATGTTGAAAACAGTTGTGCTGCACAATATTTTTGTGGAAACTGGGATACATTTTATTTTTCATGATGCTTTGATTGAAAAGAACAGCATTTATTTGAAATATAAATCTTTTGTAACATTATAAAAGTCTTTACTATCACTTTTTCTTGGCAACACTTTCTATGAAGCCCATATTTGTAATGCATTATAAAGGTATTCTTAAGGCATTATAATGAATGCATAATGCTGTATCATCTCATGAATATTCATAAGAACAGTTTTAATATATTATAATATTTACTTATTTGTGGTTATAGCTTTTAAGAGTATGATGATTTATAACACAATGAACACGTTGCATCCACTTTTACAATGGATTATATTTCTCATAGTTATAATGTATTATAAGTCTCATATCTTGCCATTTTTCTTATGCTACTTTACTTAAAGCGGTCAAAGACCACTTATAAGTAGTAGTAATAATAATAATAATAACTTTTTTTCTATCAAACAGCCATTAGATCAGATATCAGATCAGATGAATGTGTAATATGACACATTTGCTTTGAACTATTTTTATTGTAATATCAGTTTGATTATTTTGATGGTACCCTTTAAACAGCTGTTGATAAGTGACTCTGCAACTACATATCAACTAGCGGTCATTAGAGTATTAGTATGTCTGCTACTGTAAATATTTGCTAACACTGTATTTTGATGGTCAACCAACAGATAAACTGACTAGAAGTGTCTTTGCAAGTACGTCAACTTACTCTACCATACTAGATTCTACCATTCTTGAGCATACTAATACTCTAATGAGAGTTAGTCGGCATGCAGTTGCAAAGTTGCTTATAGTCGATTGATTAAAGGGACCATCAAAATAAAATGTAACCATATGAAACATTGCATTTTTTTCAGTAGGCGTATAAAGCTCACATCAATTAATCAACATTAGCTCCACAGAAAAAACACTCAAATAACACTCAACATCTAACCACTCACAAGCTGTAGTACGATACTGTGCAGATCTTAAATAAACAATGCCAAGATATGATACAGTCCATGATACTGTAAATGAAGTAGATTTAATATGGTGTTCATTGAGTGTTGAGTGACATAATCATACTCTTAAACTTATAACCACGAATACGTACGTATTATGATGTATTATAATTGATGTTATGATTATTCATATACTGATATAACATATAAGTTTTTTTATAATGCATTATGCATTCATTATAATGCCTTAAGAATATCCTTATAATGTGTTATAAATACGGGCTTCATAGAAAGTGTTACCCTTTTTTTTTTTTTTTTTTTTTTTAAAGCGTCCTTGATGAACAGAAGTAATTTCTTTCAAAAAAAATCTAAACTCCTGAATGTGTAGTGTACCGAACGTGCTGACCTGTTAAAGCAGGGAGTGTCACTGTGTCTGTATGACTCTAAAGAATAGATGTTATTAGGACCGTGTTGTTCTTTGATATTTTGTCAAGCCGAACCCATTGTTACAACACTTTCTTCAGCCTCATTCAGACCTAAAACCATCAACCAGACGCTGCAGACAAGCAAAATCTTCTTTTTTTTCCATCATGCAATCAAGCATATCATACAAATGGGACAAACTCATCAATATTACATCTCCTCTTTGTGTGTCTCTCTCTTTCTCCAGCTGATATATGATGCCGGGGTGTCGTTTACTCTTATCATGTGGATGTGGGCCGGCCTGGCAGCTCTGGTCTTTCTCAACTGTTTCATGAACTGGCCAGCAGAAGGCTTTGCTACACCAGAAGAGATTGAGAAGTTAGTACACGTCCTATAGAAACCTCAAAGATTACTCTGAAAACAGACATGCAATGTTATTAAAAAACGGCCCTCTTTGAGCGGGAATCACTGAAGCCTTCAGAGCTGAGTAGATTACTTACAAATTATAATCCGTTACAAAAATTGTAGTTAATAACGTAATTTATTACATTACACATTTTAGATTATATGTAATTGGACTACTGTTTGATTAGTTCTGACGTTACACATTTATTACACTGATTTAAATAAGATATTGTACCATATTGATATAAAAATACAAAGAGATTGAAAATATATTCCATTCATTGTTATTAACAACATTAAGTGCGCTAAACATTAAATTAAGTGGAGGTTTCTAAAAAAAACTGGGGTTCGTTTGTGAGTTTAATGAAAAGCTAATAATTAAATCATAAAAATGTACAATTAAAATAAATAATTTTTAGATAACATTAATCAGAATCAAGCTATCCGTTTTATAAATGTAATCAATAAAAAAGTAACTGTAGTCTGATTATGAGTATTTAATATAATCTAAGTGCAAGTACTTCATTTTTGGAATCTGATTACATGCAATCAGTTACAATCTTGATTTATGAATAATAATTCCTTCCTTTTGTAACCATTTAGTAGGAAAAAGATGCATTCCGCTGAAAACCACAAATTATCTGCTGAAGAGGCGACAGGAGAAACGGAGAAACTGCCAGCTGTAGCTCAGGATGCACAGTGTAAGGCACCTTGAGACGGAGTGATACATTTTGAGACCGTTTGTTACAGTTGTGTGAACGTGTAGCAGATGATGTGAAATATAACGTACGAACTCCTGGAAATCTGTTTCTCAGCTTCGGTCCCGTTCCGGCGCTCCGTGTTCTCTCCCATCTTTTTGTGGAGTCTGGTCACTATGGGAATGACTCAGCTGAGAATCATCTTCTTTATGGGAGCCATGAACAAGATGGTTGAGTTCCTGGTCACCCACGGAGAGGAGCACCGTAAGCCAAGCTACCAAACCTGCACCTTATCACTGTATTCATTAAAGCTGCCTTCTGTTCAGCCGACTTAAAAAGCGTTTCTGTCTTGTTTAGCCTCTGAAAAACTGCTGCAGGAAGCTGAGAATAAAGGTGAGATGAAGCTTTCTTAGTCTGATACTGTCATAAATGTAATTGTGAATGAAACCAAGAACGTTTCAGGGCCATATATATATTTAATACTTTTATACAATATGTATTTAAACTTCCAGTGAGCTTCTACTCGTCCGTCTTCGGCACGCTGCAGCTCTTGTGTCTGGTCACCTGTCCTCTGATCGGATACATCATGGACTGGAAGATGAAAGAGTGTGAGGTGGATCAGAAGACGGAGCGCCGGGGCGAAAAAGAGTAAGAAATTAAACTTCCTCTGCTCTCAGAAATAATGTCGCCATCTGGATTTAAATAAGCGAATCTGTACGATTTTAAGATTGGGTTATTATGGCATCATATACATTTATTGCATCATTGGCTCTAGGGGTGTGCGATATATATCGTCTGCGATAATATCGTAATTGTTGTTTTAACGATGTGCGATTTGACATTATCGAGTATTTTGCAAAAAACATTCAAAACACCCCTACAGAGCGCACGCGTACATCACGTGAAGTCTAGACTAGTGAGCATTTAGAGTGCGTTCTTTCACTGCATGATTCAGTCTATTACAATGCATTTAGAATAATCACAAATTCAAGACATGATGGCAGAAAATTTACATATTTATACCTTCATATAGTTATTCAATTTCACACGTGCCGTTTTTCTCCAAAAATTACCATGATTACAAATGTGACATTGAATTCAATAAACTAAGTTAATTAAGAGACTTACGTTTTAGACACCATATTGCCCGTTTTCGACAACAAAAATAATTCCAAACGCAGCCACAGCGCTTGTTTTGCGTCTGTGCGTTTCGTTCCTGAATGAATCCTGTTTTGTGTCTCTGAGCAACATGACGGTGTTTCGTTCTTGAATGAATCACTCGTTTAAATGATTCGATTCAATCGCAACGACTCACTTATTAACAGTGATTTGCTGCCACCTGCTGGCGGTATTAATTTCAAATTTCGGCTTTTTCTTTTTTTTCTCTTTTTCTTTATTTTAGATTTTTTTTTTAGATAATTTCAGATATCAGTATTCAACGTTTTATGTTTAATATATCAAAATATTATTTATGCATTTGTAATTGCAGGTTAAATGCATTCATGTCTTGCATTAAACAAAATACATGTGTGTAAATGCATCTAAATGCCACTTCAGATGCAGCTTCTGTGTTGATTTAATTAGCTTGGTAACAGCCCGAATGTCTTATTACTCTAATTCCCTGATTAAATGTAAGAATTTGACTCAAGAGATAATGGACACTTTTAGAAAAAATGGCTTTATAAAGGTAAAAATGTCCATAAAATGTAAAAATCAGTTTAAACTTATTGGAAAAGATTAATTTCTCTCAGTATGAACTGACGACCACACAGAATATGAAGAATATTAAAAACATTAGGAGTCAGCTGTCTTCGGCAGTCTTTACCAGTACAATAACACACTCAGCAAAATATCGTCATCGATAAAATCCCAGAAAATATCGAGATATAATTTTTTGTCAATATCGCACACCCCTAATTGGATCTTACACATTTCTTTAACTTGACTGTAACTTCACTGAAGGACATGCAGCCGAAGCGCGAGCACAAATGCCGTCTCTCAGATGCATGCGAACCTGAATTCAGTTCTCTTTCACAGCTTTTTGCGCTTAAACGGTCAAATACACACACAATTAAGTCAAAATGCACATTGTGTGGAGTATTCACATAAACACAGTCTGTTATGTGAACGTAAACAGTTCGGACGGAGCAAATCGGATGTGTAACAGTATATTAGATCCGTGCGTTCGTTCTTAAAGGAACAGCAGACTAATAAACTGTTGCCGTCTTTAACATTAATGTTAATAAAACAAACAAACAAACGTAATCACTTTTGTATCTTTATTATGAATCAATTTATATGTAATTCATACAGTGAACACTATGTAGTGTTTTATTTTTATATTTCTGAAGTATTAAACCTAGGTTACTGTACCTGAAAATTTTCAATTTTATTTGTTCTTCTGTTTATTTATTTTATTTACCAGTTTTTATATGCAAAAGGTTAAATTCTTGGGTCACACTTTATTTTAAGGTCCAATTCTCACTATTAACAAACCATTAACTATGACTTTTGCCTCAAACTCCTAATTTGCTGCTTATTAATAGTTAGTAAGGTATTTGTTAAGGTTAGGTATTGAGTAGGATTAGGGATGTAGAATATGATCGTGCTTTATAAGTACAAATAAAAAGCCAATATGTTAATGATAGGCATGCTAATAAGCAACTAGTTAATAGTGAGAACTGGTCCCTAAACTAAAGTGTTACCATATTTTTATATCAAGGGATTTTATTTATGTACTAACTAAGCAGTTTGTCTCAGGGCTGCATTGCTTTATTTCAGACGACGCGTGTGTGTCATGATTGCAGTCAGCTGAAATGGCATTTGTTTTATAATACTAGGCGGACTAAAATGTACATATTTCAAGGTTTACATTTAATTCGGTGAGTTTTTTTATTTTTCTTCAAGACCTATTAAACTGTCTACTGTAGTCAAATAGGAAAGATAACACAAAACAGTAAACTAGAATCAAATCTATGCATGAATCGAATCGAAATTTGATCCACAATCGTGAATGGATTTTTAATCGAATCGTGAGGTTAAGATCAATCAATCAATCAACTCGTGCATGAAAATGATTCCTCGTGCTCACTGAACCACGATTTCACAACTTTGGTCCAAAGAATCGTGAAATTGTCGTCCTGAGATATGGACATGGGTGCATCTATCAACATGGTTGTTTAAGAAAAGAAAAGCGTCAGTTTGGCTTAAAAGAATTGTCACCAAACATGCCAGAAACATATTAATCACTGCAATAATGATCCAATCCTAGACTCTTCACTATTTGCTTATTTCAATCCAAATGGCGACTTTTGTTTTGCCCGGGAAGAGCATATAAGAAGCAAACGAACCGACTATCTCCTGATGGCTCTGTAAAATATGGCCTTTGGCTTCTTGTCTCCTGCCAGAGCTGTTGCGGAGCCGAAGCGTGACGGAAAGATCCAGAAGCTGACCAACGCCATAATAGCCTTCATCTTCACAAACGTGCTTCTCATGCTGTTTGGGATCCTCTCGCTCGTAGACAACCTTCCTCTACAGGTAAAACACTCTGATCTGCCTCATAGTCAAGTCTCCTTTATTTCTACAGCGCTTCAGACAGTATAGATTGTGCCAAAGCAGATTTACACTGTTAAACAGGACAGTAATGTTTTAAAGCTGCAGACAAAATATAAAAATTCTGCTGTAAATCAGCTCTAAAAAGACAATCGTAAACAGCCAGTTTTTCAGTTAAAGTCAGTTCATCGTTGTTTCAGTTCAGTTTCATAACTGTGTAAAGTTCTTCAATTATGGAATGAGTTTAATTCATCTATAACGCAGCACTGTAAGCAGACTAAGTAGCTCATGTTGTGAGTGGATTAATGGATTTTTCCAGTTTTATATTGCAAATACACTACAATTCAAAAGTTCAGATTTTTTAAAAACATGTTTTTCAAAGACTCTTATACTCTCCAAGGCTACGTTTATTTGAGCAAACATACTAAGAATGTCAATTTTCAATCATTCCCATGATCAATCGTCATTTAAATTAACTATCAATTAATCGATTAATCGTTAACCTTAAACGGTTAGTTCACCCAAAAATTGAAAATTAGCCCATAAATTGCTCACCCTCAGGTCATCCTAGGTGTTTATGACTTTCTTCTTTCAGATGAATCCAGTCGGAGTTATATTAAAAATTGTCTTTGATCTTTCAAGCTGTTTCATGGCACTCAGCGGGTGTTGCATGCATCAGTCCAAAAGAAGTGAAATAAAAAGCGCCCATCCATAAAATAAAAAAAAGTGTCTCGCACGGCTCCGGGGGGTGAACAAAGGCCTTCTGTAGCGAATCGATGCGTTTTTGTAAGAAAAATATCCATATTCAAAACGTAATAATCACTTTAATGTAGCTTGCACTCACTGTTGTACACGGAAGCAGCTCCGGGCGGATGACGTAAGAGTTCAGTGCTGCGCGTGCGCCGGTGAGCCTCGTGAAAACCAACGTTTGTTAACAGGAGCAAAGGAAGCTAAGTTTCCTTACTTTAGCAAAGGAAAACCAGTCTCCTCTTGGCTTATATCGAAATCCTCTGACATTCTTCTTTACAAATCCTCGTTTTGTACTTCTAATTCGTGAAGTCACTTCTGAGCAGCGCATGCGAAGCATTGACCTCATACGTCATCCGCCCGGAACTGCTTTCATGTACAACATGTGGTGTAAACATCTTTATAGTTATTGTTCTTGGTGTGAATGGGTCTTAAAAGTATTTTCTTTTTTAAAAATCTGACTGAGCCCTAACTTTGGAGCATGAGTTTATTTGCATAAGAACTTAATTGCAGTAGATGGGCATGTTCTAATAACTCTCGCTCTCTTTGTCCAGATTCTGACGTTTATTTTTCACACTATGGTACGAGGTTTCATTCACTCGTGTTGTGGAGGACTGTATGCTGCTGTGTGAGTACAAATACACACACATACACTCACTCATACACACACACACACACTCACACACACTCACACACACACACACATACATACACAAACAAACACACTCACACACACATACACACACACACACTCTCTCTCACACACACACACACAAACACACACACACACACACTGCTTCCTCTAAACCTGTTAAATAGCAAGTACAGACTTATCCCGCTCTTATAAAATCAGACGGTTATAAAACTGCATTCCACGGGATCAGGTTTGCCTTGTTTGTGTGTGAAGTACAACGCAGAGTATGTGTAAAATTCAATCCCTGTACATGGATTATGTCGCCCTGATGAAATCACACATATGCCTTTTGACCTGTCATTTCAGTGCCACAACATTTCATTACAGTCTCAAAATTAAGCAGCCTGCAGACTATGGACAAACGAAGTGTCTCTCTCTCTCACAGATACCCGTCCAATCATTTTGGCACCCTCACCGGGCTGCAGTCTATGATCAGTGCAGTGGTGGCTCTTCTGCAGCAGCCGCTCTTCATGGTTATGGTGGGACATCAGAATGGAGATGCTTACTGGGTAAGAAACACACTTCTTCATCAGTTATATTTAGGGCTGAAACAATTAGACATTATTGACGATGTCAAAAAAAAACAAGTGTCGACAAGTATTTTTGTTGTCGAAATAGGGGTGTGCGATATTGAAAAAAAATTATATCTCGACAGGTCATTTAGGCTGTTACCAAACAAATGAAATCAGTATCAACAAAATTAATCTTCGCAGAAGTTGCATCTGAAGTGGCATTTTGATGCATTTGCACACTGTTTAATTCAGCTCAGCGGGACATGGAGTGCTTTAACCTGCAGTTACAAATGCATAATGTTTTGATATTTTAAACACAAAACATTGAATACTGATATTTGAAATTATTTAAATAATAAAAGATACTTTAAATGTGAAATTAAAACCGCCAGTAGGTGGCAGCAAGTCACTGTAAACAAGTGAGTCATTGCGATTGAACCGAATCATTTAAACGAGTGATTCATTCAGGAACGAAACACCGTCATGTTGCTCAGAGACGCACAACAGCACTGTGGCTATGTTTGGAATTATTTTTGGTTGGCGAAATAGAGAAAAAAAACAGGCAATATGGTGTCAAAAACGTAAGTCTCTTTAATATTAACTTAGTTTATTGAACTGTTGTATAAAATCAGTATCACATTTGTAATCATGCTGATTTTTGAAGAAAAAAACGTTATATGAAATGATATATATGTTTCTGCCCCTGAATCATGCAGTGAACGTTTAACCCACTAGACTTCTTCACGTAATGAATGCGTGCACTCCGTAGGTGTTTTGTTTGGTTTTTGCAAAATACTCGATAATGTCAAATTGCACATCGTTAAAACAACAATTACGATATTATCTCAGACGATATATATCGTACAGCCCTATGTCAAATAGTCATTTGTTCTCATATTAGAGGGCTGTGTACACAACGCAAATCTCGCGGGAGCGGGCGGTCAAACAAATATAGCATGACAAGAATGAAGGAGTTACATTAACACTAGTCTTGCTGCGGCTGTCGGTGTTACACGGTGTTTGGTCGTATACAATTACATACACTGTCATTCCGCTTGTTTATAGAAATAAAAATCATTTCGTTTAGTTAGTTATAACCTACACTATAATTCTAAACTGAAAGCGTCTGCTCTGCTCCGTACAGCCAGGGTTGCCAGGTCTGTGTGACAAAACTAGCCCAATGGCCATCAAAAACCACACAATGACCATATCCCAAATATCAAAATGTCATTTCCATACCTAAAATACCTCAAATATATAGTTTACAGTTACTGCTCAAAGGCTTCCTACCAGTGGCCCTCCTTCACAAACTTAACATTTAGTGCAGTTTTATGAAAATATTTCAATACAAGCATTTCATTCAAATGGAATTTATGCAATATTTCAAACCTTTAACCAACGGGGAAAAATCAACCCACAGAAAGAGTTTAAAAGTAGCCAGATTCTGTGGAAGAAACCTGACCCTGGAGCACAAAAGCAGTGTTAAGTCGCTGGGGGATATTTGTCGCAATAGCCAAAAATACATTGTATGAGTCAAAATTATAGATTTTTCTATTATGCCAAAAATCATTAGGATATTAAGTAAAGATCATGTTTAGTGGTCGACCGATATATCGGCCGATATTTGGCATTTTTCAAATATCGGCATTGGCCAATGCGTTCGTGGCGGGACTTTTATTTTGACGGCGCTGAGAGCGGCAGCACCTGAACACACAGTGCTCACATTCTCCCTCTTGTTCGCTGTCGTCGTTAATAGTTCTGTCCACAGACTGTCTGTCTATAATAATCAGATAGAACTGTTAAACAAAGGAATTCAAATGTATACAAAAAAGTATTATAACGATTGCTTTTATATTGTTAGTAATAGAAAGGCAAATACGCATTTATATCATTTAAACAAATCTTTGAATAACTAATGAACATCTAATTTCAAAAACCTTGCAAACTTAGTCGGATCCAGTTGTGAGATCTTGTGAAGTGTGCATGTGTATCCTGCATGATTGCGTGCGCTCTGCGTGACGGTCGAGCCGTGTGAATGTAATGTGGACAGGAGGAGAGTTCAGCTTCAGTGAGATGCGCGATCGACTTTAAACTCGTGATTTCAAATTATGCTGCGCTTTATGCATTTGCTCACTGTCATATTCATGTCATTTCCACTGTTTGCTGTATGTAAAATGAGTGTTACCTTGGCTTTATTTGAAAAAATATGATTCCAAATGCACACAAACTTCCCAGATTACTTAGTGCCCTGTTGGTTACGGTGTTTACTTTTTAATTATATTTTGTTTATTTGTGAAAAATATTTAAAAAGTATAAGCATGTTTATTTTACACATTTATTTTTTTAATCCATTTTCAAATGATTTCAAATTTCTTAAATATTAATTAAAATAAATAAAATTATATCGGCTTTATCGGCCACCCTGCTTTCCATGATATCGGTCGACCACTATGTTCCATGAAGATATTTTGTAAATTCTTACCGTAAATATTGTCAAGTTAAAAGAATTTCAGCTTTTACGCACTGACGCTGCTTTTCATTGACTCGCATGCCTTCGGTAGCCTACCAGGAGTATGATTTTTAGGACATTACACAGCATTTTGGCTTTACACTAAATCTGGGGCAGCTCATGAACAAACAATTAAACAAATACTCACATAATCCATTTTTCTTACCATTATTGTAGTTAATAAATCGGCTTATTTGTTTGTAATTTGCTGTTTTCTGTCAGAAATAATGACAAAGAATGTAATAAATCATCCACTAGAAAAAAAAAATCCTCAAAGCTGTATTCAGATTTGTCTGTAACTGTTCAGACGCAAGAAGCATGAGTCCTTGAACATTAAAAAAAAATCACTTTGAACAGCAAAAACTGTTTTTTTACCAATTATTCCACAGGCCTCTCTCCATCACCGGGTGAGTAAAATGGAAAAATCCTCATATATCTGTGGCTACATCCCTGATTTTCTCTAAGGTTGTCTAGAAACAAGACTCAAATCACCCCCGCTCTCGCCTATATGCATCTCTTTTTTTTCTCTCAGAAAAAGGTACATCAGCTGTCAGTGGGACGGTACCCTTTCAGAAGCTACTAAAGTGCACCTTTTAGGTACTGATGTGTACCTTCAGGGATAAATACAGTACAAAGCTGTACCTTTTGAAAAGACTCAAACCCAGCAACAGATTTTGTACCTTTTTTTTCCAGAGACACACACACACTCTCACACACACACACTCTCACACACACACACTCTCACACACACACACTCTCACACACACACACTCTCACAGACACACACAGGTTCTATCTCAGGCTGTTGGGCTGAGATCCAGTGAGACCAGGATGATCAGGACTGTGTCGATTCTAAGAGAAAAATACAGTACAGTGAAACCAGATGTTTTAAAATCATGAAGAGAACACAAAGGCATCTGCAAATAGGATTGTTTAAATGCTTTCTCACCATTTACGTAAAAAGGCTGAGCTGATGAAGACTAGTCAATTCACGTTATATTCTTTAGACACGTAAAACTTCCACGTTTCACATCATTATTGGCTGCTTTTATAATAGTCTTGTTCAAGTAATTTGGACCGCTGGACTGTTGTAATCGTGCCCTGTGAGTCGCTCACCTTTTTCTTCTTCTTGTCTTTCTTTTTCTTCTTGCGATCAGGATCATCATCCCGCTTTTTCTTCTTCTTCTTGGGGTCAGAATCCGAGGGGGTCTCTGCACGGGAAACACAGACGAGTTAGTTAATGCCCGGATGCGTTTGTGTGCATGTGAAATACCTCAGGTTTGTGCGTCACCTGGTGGCAGAGGATCCTGAGGTCGGTGATGTCGGTATTTGTTTTTGCTCTTTTTCTTTGGCGGCTGTATGTGCATCAGTCTGTACTGCTCTGGAAGCTACAACACACACCAACACTATAAACACGAGGCTCTACGATCATGTTTTAGACCAGTGGGCTTCTATCCTGGTCCTGGGGACCCACCACCGCTCTGCACGGTTAGCCTAGTCTCTCTTATCGGACACATTCAGTTCATGGAGTCTCTCCTAACGAACTGATGATCTGAATCAGGTGTGTTAAATAAGGGAGGCATGCAAAATGTGCAGAGCGGTGGGTCCCCAGCACCAGGATTGAAAACCGCTGTTTTAGACAGTATGTTGGTCTAGGTTTACCGGGCCAGTGTGCAATCGAAATCCAGTGAGTAGAGCTCCCGTCAGCGGACTGAAAGAGTTTCCACAAACCGGAGGCTTTTCTATGAGAGAGCGCAGAGAACTGCCGTCCTGAATCCCTGGACAGTCTATCATCCCTGCAAGAGAGAAAACACAACCTGCTACGACACTAACATCCCTGATAGCACAGGTACATCTCGGAGACGTCTATTTGACGTCTGCATTTACATCTGCAAGATGTATTTTTTAGAGTGTTTGCTCATCTACAGGACGTTTCCTATCAGATGTCAACTAGACGTTTAGAAGATGTCTATATGATTTAGAACGTCTTAAAGACGTCTATCAGATGTTTGTACACAGCAGATGCTTTCCAGATGAAGCGATCTTTAACAGACATCTTGCAGACTTGCATGTGCTATCTGGGATCGCACACAAGAGGTCTGGTAAAGATGCGCTGTACAAACATCTGATAGACGTCTTTAAGACGTTCTAAATCATATAGACATCTTCTAAACGTCTAGTTGACATCTGATAGGAAACGTCCTGTAGATGAGCAAACACTATAAAAAATACGTCTTGCAGACGTGATGCAAACGTCAAATAGACGTCTCAGTGATGTACGTGTCCCAGATTGCACAGGTACATCTGCAAGAGGTCAGTTAAAGATCGCTTCATCTGGAAAGCATCTGCTGTGCACAAACATCTGACAGACGTCTTTAAGATGTCAGTTTTACATTCAATCTAAATCATAATCATCTTAAAGACATCTTCTAAACGTCTAGTTGACATCTGATAGGAAACGTCCTGTAGACGTATTGCAGATGAGCAAACACTCTAAAAAATACGTCTTGCAGATGTAATGCAGACGTCAAATAGATGTCTCCGTGATGTACATGTGCTATCAGGGTGGAATATGTCAGAAACAGTGCTGTTAAACGAATAATTGCAATTAATTGCATCCAAAATAAGTTTTTGTTTACATAATATGTGTGTGTGCTGTGTATTTATATATGTATCTATATATCTATAAATACACACA